TTGGCTCTTTTTTTATACCTTCTATTTATTTGCTGAGGTTTTCAAGATAATTAACAATTGCTTACTAAAGCCTTTTTGTGATAGATGCTTTAAAATCTCTTTCAGATTATTTCAATAATTGATTTATCTCAATCTTGATATCTATTCATTTTCTTCCATCATTCAAGTTGTGATTTCCCTTGATCTTTGTATGACTTATTATTGTCATCAAATTCTTATCATTTTCAATATTATAATATGGGGCTCTGTAGTGTTTTGTTTTGTTTTGTTTTGTTTTGTTTTTATCAGAGAGCATTCTTGTTGTGATGTACCTGGACGGCCAGGTGTGTGTACATGTCAATGTCTAGTGGGATTTCCTGACACCCCTTTTGCAAAAGTGGAACACTGACTCACACTACCTCATCGCACATGTGTGAAATAGAAATTTAACACCCTTGTCAGATCTGCCAATACCTTCATGGTGAGAGATGGGTACTGACTCATACCATCTCACTGCCTCCAAGTGGATGTAGATGTGGAAGTTTATCTAACCTTTGTACCTCACTAACACCAGGGTGTAGGGAAATTTGGGTACCATGTATTCCCATCTTGTTCTCCTCATTCAGTCTCACTGATGCTAGATAGGGATGCAATTTCAGTTCCTCACTGTTTCACTAACTCCAAGAGTTTTGGATACTAGAATGTTGTCTTGCCCTGCCTTGTTCTGTGTTATTCATAGTTCCATTGCTGTTGTGTTGATATGGGGGCAGCGTGAGAAGAGGCTATAGAATCGAGGTCACCAACACTACCTTATACCATCAGCTAAGGGTGGAGGAACAATGTATTATTAAACCTCACTGACACTACATAAGAAAGTTAAAACACCGCACTGCTTGCTTCTGTTGAGTGTGGGGGCGGGGGAGATCAGTTCTATGCTCAGCTTCTCTTATACTAACTACTCTGACAGGGAAGCACTGCCATATTAAGGAAACACTGCCATCCTAGGGAATCACTGCCTGGTTCTGCCAGATAGGTCATGGAAAATCAGCTGTCTAGTTGATTCCTGCCAACACTACATCAGAGGAATTGGAACATCATCTGCTCCCACTCAGCCATGGAGAGATCAAATTCCTGCAGTAGGTGGAAGATCAATTCCCTGCATTTCAGGCTGTCAACTAACTTTGTTTCCCACCACAAACCACATACCCTGTTTCTTAGTCTCGCATACTCTGTGCTCCAACCACCATCTTCTGACCAGTTTTTCATATATCCTATGCTCATGCATCCCTCTGTGCATTTCCTTCAGCTGACTTCGACTGAAAAGGCCTCAATATTCCACCACCTTCCGAATGTCTTCCTTTTGTTTTCCTACTCTTTCAAGTTCTCTTTTTTTTAAGATTTTATTTATTTATTTTACAGAAAGAGAGACAGTGAGAAAGGGAATACAAGCAGGGAGAATGGGCAGAGGGAGAATTGGGCTTCCCGCAGAGCAAGGAGCCTAATGTGGGGCTCGATCCTAGGACCCTGGGATCATGACCTGAGCCAAAGGCAGCCACTTAATGACTGAGGCACCCAGGTGTCCCTTAAGTTGTCTTTTCTCATCTCCCAGCCATAATAAATTACTACCTCCTTTGGTCCCCAGTGCTTAATTTATACATGCCATAGTATGCATGTATTATAATCTAGCTTGTACAATGAAATTAAAAGCACTTATGCCTATCTCCACCCCCGTCCAATTATAAATTATAACTATATCTCACAAATTTATTTTCAGTAATGTTTTATTTATCCAGAATTTGGGCTTCCAGAAAATTACAACATTTGAAAGACTGCTCTGAAACTGGCTATAAGGGACAAATCCTTGCCACTGTGCCTTTTCAATTTACACTCAGGTCCTGACCAAGAGGTGAAGGACATTAAGGAGGACATGTGATATGATGAGCACTGGGTGTTATACACAACACTACATCAAAAACTAATGATGTTCTATATGTAGAGTAGTTAAATTTTTTAAAAAAGAGATCTTGAGTGTAAAATAGAGCAAAGGTTTAGAGATGGGACATAATCTAGGGTGTTTGTAGACAGACCTGGCAGGAAAAAGGACATATTTTAGGGGATGACTGCTTAGAAGACCACAAGTACTTACCAGGAGTTGGTTCATGTGTTAAGAAATTTACTTTTATTTATTTTAATATTTACATTTATCCTTTGAGGTAGATGTTATTATTATCCATGTATTGTAGGTTGATGGTGCTCTCCTAATCATTTTCAGATGTCTGGACACATTCACAGGGCCAGTGATCTGCATGTTTTGAAGGGATGAATCAAGCTGCTATGTGAGATTTTAAGTCAATAGGACTTTAATCTGTAGAGGTTGTGTCAGAGTACCTGCTTCATTAAGGAGGATTTCTTTGTATTGGAGCAGAGCGGCTAAAACCACTTATTTCATAAAAAATTATTGAGTACCTACTCTGTGTAAGATACCTGAGATGCAAGATAAAAGTTATTTCCTGATGGTTTTATAGTTGAGTGGGCAGATATACAAAATATACATTTTATCATAGTATGGTAAGGTTCACTGAATCCCTGTTAGGTAATGTTAGGTAATGACTTAACATAATGTTAGGTAATGACTTAACATTAGAATCATAGTTTTAGAGAAGAAAAGATATAAGAAATTGCCTTGTCAGGCTGCTTTGTGGGCTTGTGAGCAAGAATTCCATGGAACTGTGTAACCAAAGGTCTGAGTGAATTGTTTGGCCTCCATTTGTGTGACCTGTGTGTGGTCGTCCCTACATGTCAACTGCTTTTTTTTTTTTAAGCAAAAGGAGCTTGGCACATCTTGGTATAGGAGATTACCACAAAAAAAAAAAAACACGTTTTTTTGTGGATCATAATCACACGACATTTGCACGTCTCATTTCAGTGTGTAAGTTGTATATTTATGTGAATATATACAGACCACTATGACATTCTTTTTTTTTAAAGATCTTATTTATTTGACAGAAAGAGAGAGCACAAACAGGGAGAATGGCAGGCAGAGGGGAAGGGAGAAGCAGGCTCCCCGAGGAGCAGGGAACCCAATGCTGGGCTTGATCCCAGGACCCGGGAATCATGACCTGAATCGAAGGCAGTCGTCCAACCAACTTGGGCACCCCAGTGCCACTCACTATGACATTCCAAAGAGTTTAGAAATTTAGTGTATGTAGTTTTCTTGCTTCCTCAGAATTACTTTCTCAATGTGTAGTATTGAAGAATCATCCCATCTTCAAAGTCCTTGGCCTGGGAAACACGGGGAATTGGAGGTCCAGAACATTCTGCCCTTTTAGCTATTAAATGGTACAAGGACTAGGTTTTTCTCTGTCCCTGCCTTGGAAGGTATGAAATGTGGAGGCAGCCAGTATTTTCATTTTGCAGCTCTGTCTCCTACTTTTCTACATTTCTAGATAAAATGGTGACCTTTATTTTACCTGTAATGACATGAGGTATTGTCTTCTCACCAGTGAAGGATGGAGGAATGAGAATTAGGGAGTAGACTTCCCTGGCTTTAATTACCATCTCGTAATGTAGGATACAGGGCTAAAAGTTTTACAGACATTACCATTTAATCCTCATAACAACCCTGTGACTTGAGGTGGGTGAAATTACAAACACTTTCTTTTCTATCTTTCAGATTTTCCACAGGAAGATGCAGTAGTCCTATAATCAGAAAAAAAACAAATATATACAACAGAAGCCCTTTCATTTTTCTCACTATAAAGTTTGTTTTTCTCTCCATAATTTTGTCTCAATAGCCTACTTTTCCACACATTGTCCTTATCTCATATGTGGATTCCCATGGCATTAAATATTATTTGAAAATATGGTTTCTACTAGCTCAATAAGTCCATATATGAAGGTAAATTAGCTTCATTACCTATTTTGTCATAGGTCATTTAGCACAAATAATGGACCATCCACACAAGAAACATTATGGGACAATTAAAAATCATGTTTCCAGAGTATTTGATAAACTTGGAAAATGCTCTTGATATAAATTGGAAAAAAAAAGCTATAAAAGTATGAAATCTCACAATTTTGTAAAATATAAAGAAGAAATCAGAACTAACATTTTGCTGTATATCTATTTGGTAAGATCTGTAAGGTTTTATAGGCGAGATAAACACGACACCAGGCGAAGTGGGTGCAAGGCAAGATTTATTAAAGGCACTCTCCCGCGAAGTTTCAGGGCTCAGGAGAAGGGGAGACAGGAAAGTTGCCGCTGGGAGGAGGTGGGCACCCTCAGGCAAGGTTCCTCAACTCTGGAAAGCAGAGTGGGGAAAGTCGACCTGAGAGGGAGTTGGTGGGGATCTTTTATCTGTCTCCTGCATAGGTATCGGGTTACCTATGAAGACATGACGTGGGCATACATCCTTTTGGCAGGAGAGTCAAGGATTAAGGAGGGGGGTAGGCTGGAAGAAGGTGAGACCCCGCGGTGGCGAGACCCCGAGGCGGTCAGCTCTTCCTGCACTCCGGGAGCCTCCGGAGCCGCCGGTCATTTCTATTGTTCCTCCTGCACTCCCGGAGCCCGCCGACCCAACAAGATCAAAGTTAGTTTTGTCTTTTATTTCACTGAATTTCAGAAATTCTCCATGTCAGTACATTTCTTTTACATTCAGAAAAGAAGATCATTAAAAAAGGCATTACTGGGAGTGATAAGGTAAAAAATATAAAGGAGAGTTTGGATCAAGATGGTGGGCTTTTTCTTCACTGCTCTCATATTCCTTAAACTGAAAGAAAATAATTTGTATGTACAAACTCTGTTTATGTGTGTATTAGATATTATTTTGTAAAGACTTTGTAAGGAATTCCTGTAAGATAGAAAGCAGATGGAGTGGCTGTGGAGACGGCTGACGGGTGAAAGGCGGCCAGAAAGAAAGAGCAGGGGAGCCGACCTTTCTGGCTCCAGTTTGAGGGAAGCGGTCAGGGAGCGCGTGAGGTAATGAAGGAGTGAGACACTGTGACTGCGTACTGAACGCGGGTGCGCGCACTGACCCGCCCAGTCACTGCAGGCCCAGCGGAAGGCGGAATGGCAGGGGGCGGGGCCGAGGAGCAGGCGGGCTCTAAGGGGTCGAATTCCTGAAACAAGCAAAAACCCCGGCGCCAGAGCTAGGCCCGGCAGAGCAGCGCTGTGAAGCCGAGGCCGCGCGGATTTGTCAGAGACCCTCCGCTGCCTGCTCCTTTGATGCTGCAGTCATCCCTCTTATCCCTTGACTACATTTCCTGTCGTCTTCTCAATCACCGTTTTTGCAGATTCAGCACCAGCGATAACAGCTAAGTGGTCAATTCTGGGACTCGGGTTGGGAGTCAGGGTGGGTGCGAGGCGTAAGCAGTACAAGCTAGCCCGCCATCTGCTGCAGCAACCGCCACTGCTGCAGACACCTCTCCTGGGCGGGAAAGGAGAACACTGTCAAAAGGTCCACGCTGTTCCAGTGCCCACGGTCAGAGTTAGAACGTTTCTGTCAAGCCTTGGGGAGAGCCTTGCAGTTTGGGAAGGAAGGAAAGACTCAGAGATCACGAAAAAAGATCTCATTTTGGGTAGTGTTGACTTTTTGTCATCTTAACTGAGGGAGTGGCAGCTTTGCTTGAGCCTCCTTAAACCCTGAGCCATGTCACCCCCAACTGTGCCCCCGATGGGTGTAGATGGCGTCTCCGCATACCTGATGAAGAAAAGGCACACCCACAGGAAGCAGCGGCGCAAGCCCACTTTCCTTACGCGTAGGAACATCGTGGGCTGCCGCATTCAACACGGCTGGAAGGAAGGCAATGAGCCCGTGGAGCAGTGGAAGGGCACTGTGCTCGAGCAGGTTTCCGTGAAGCCCACTCTCTACATCATCAAATATGATGGCAAAGATAGTGTGTATGGGCTAGAGCTGCACCTAGATAAAAGAGTTTTAGCGTTAGAAATCCTTCCTGAAAGAGTGCCAACTCCTCACATTGATTCGCGCCTGGCGGATTCCCTGATTGGCAAAGCAGTGGGGCATGTGTTTGAGGGTGAGCATGGTACGAAAGATGAATGGAAGGGCATGGTTTTGGCGCGAGCCCCTGTGATGGACACTTGGTTTTACATAACTTATGAGAAAGATCCTGTCCTTTATATGTACACGCTGCTGGATGACTACAAAGATGGTGACCTGCGCATCATTCCAGATTCCAACTACTATTTCCCTACAGCAGAACGGGAGCCTGGAGAAGTGGTCGACAGCCTCGTGGGCAAGCAAGTGGAACACGCCAAAGATGATGGGTCCAAGAGAACCGGCATATTTATCCATCAAGTGGTGGCCAAGCCATCCGTCTACTTCATTAAGTTTGATGATGATATTCACATTTATGTCTATGGCTTGGTGAAAACCCCCTAAATTCATTGTGCTCTTTGCAAAAGTCATGGAACTATTAAATGTAAAACGTCATGTTCTTGTAATTGTGAATTTTTGGAACAGAATGGTGTCAGAGGTTCAGGAATTTATTATTACTTTTTACTTATTGTGCCTCCAAATCTTACAACGACTAGTCCCACAGTTTTGTCCCAAGTGTACACTGGTACTTTTGATATGGCTTTGTTCTATAACTGAATGTTTAATTTGGGTGTTAATAGAAAACTGAAAAGTATTCATTACCATTGGAACAATGAAAAACTAAAGAAAAATCAGTGGAGTAACTCCACACCAGATCCTTTCTCCCATTTTATTATCTCCCCTTTCTTCTTTCCAGGTAACAAGTGTTAAGAACATGATGTATAACCTTACACGTTTTCCCCATCCACTTACAGAAAGTTTGTTATAGTCTCTTCTGTAAAAATGAAAGCCACATCATTTCTCTGTGATTGCTTTTCACATTTGGAATATCCATGATATCTGTTCTAATCAGTAGCTGCAAGTCTCTCTATCTCTCTATCTCTCTCTCCCTCTCCCACCTCTTGTCCTCTCCCAGTTCCCCTCTGCCCCCGGAATTTACTTTGTATTTGGTATAACACAGAGGTCAAATTATACATTCTGTTCACATCAGGTACCTGATTAAGCCATCACATTTATTAAATAAATCACCTTTCCCCCTCTTCTTTCTCTCCTTCCCTCTAGCAGCTGCATATACAGTACATTTATATACCAAAAAGGTATTCAGGCATTCTATCATTGATGGTCACTTAAATTATTTCCTTTCCTTTTTTGACCATAGCACTGCTGCAGTAAATACTGGTGATTTTATTTCTATTGGGTAGATTCCCAGAAATGGGATTGCTAGGTAGGGATATATTTAATTTTAAGTAATATTACAAAATTACTATACAAAATGAAAGTGCTCATTTCCCATTATTCTGTCCAATACTCTTTCAAGTTTGCAAATCTGGAACGTGACACATTAAATAGTAATTTTTTAATTGACAAATTCAAGGAGGTTTGTTTTTTTAACTGTTTGGATTTTTCTCTTTTGTGATTTGCCAATACGTATCCTTTGCTCATTTATCTATTGAATCTTTGATCTTTTTCTTATACATTTCTAGGAATTCTTATTATATTTCTCTAGGATACAGAGTAATCATTTGTAGCCAATCTGTATTTTTTCCATTCTATCACTGATCTTGACTTTAGTGGTGGTATCTTTTACTTTATAGTTTCTTACATTGTTGTTTTTAATTTTTAGATAGACTGCTACCTCCTTTTAAGTTTTTTGGTTTCACATCTTTTTCAGATGAGTACCTCCACCCCAAGTCATACAAATAGTCACCTATATCTTTTTCTAAAATTTTAATTAATTTTAAGGTTTTAGCTGTTTGAGCCATCTGGAGTTTATTTTATATATGGTATAAGATAAAAGTTCAAATATACATATTGTTCACATTGGATTCATGATTATGCTATCATATATATTAAATAAACCACCCATCTTTCAGTCTGTGGACCAGTATCCTGTCGTTTAACTATAGTGGCTTGACCATAAATTTTGAACTCTGGTAAAGCAAGTTACCTCTCATTGGGTGTTTCTTTTTTTCCCCATTTCTTCTTTTATATAAATTGTTCTAGAAATTAATTTTTCTATGAAAATTGAAAGCATTCTTTCCACATTTCAAAAATTCTGATATCTTAGAATTGTGATACATTTCAACATTTCTATTTAGAACACAATTTTAATGATATTAACTCTTGCCATTCAAGAGTTTTGGTACCTCATTAAAATCTTTTGGTTTTGTTTTTGTAATGTTCTTCATATGGATCCATTACATCTGGTTAAATTTGTTTCTAAATATTTTTACAGACTTTGTCACATTTTGAATTGGGCATTTTTTCCTCCTTATTTTTAACTTCTTATTTTTGACAATATAGATAAACTACAGAATTAACTTCAAAAATTATCTTATTACATTTTTTAAAGTAGAATAATTTCAATCTTCTAGGTATATAATCATTTCACCTGCAAATAGTGATAATTTTATTTATTCAAAATAATGTTTAATAATGATTATGACAGATATGCTCATCTGGTATTAGATTTCATGGAATTGTCTTTAGTGTTCCCTATTAATGTTTGGTTTTGGTTATTGGCAAATAGTCATTAACCTTTAAAATGTTTAAGGAGTTTCTTTTATTCCAATTTTTCCATGTCTGTTTCACATTAGGAGGCTTAGTGAAAGTGGCTTCTGGAATTTATCAGATGTCTTTCAGCATCCATTGAAAAAAATCATATGATTTTGTTTTCCTTTAATTTGTCAATGTAATGAATTAGAGAACTAGATATTTGATGCTGAACCAAATTTGTGTTTCTGGAATAAATCCTACTTAGTCATCTTATAATAATCAAATAATCATTTGATACATTGCTAGATTTTATTTACCAATATTTTTAGAATTATTCCATTTACACTTCAAACTGAAATTCTATTTTTTTCTTTTTTTTCTTTTTTTTAATTATATTATGTTAGCATACAATACATCATTAGTTTCTGATGTAGTGTTCCAAGATTCATTGTTTACACATAACAACCCCTGTCTTTATCAAATTCTGTTTTTAAAATTGTGCTAGCTTTAAAAATGAATTGGTGAATTTTCTGTCTTTTTTGTGGTCTGAAATAGCTCTAAAAAGCATTATAATTATTTGTTCTCTGTCTAAAAAATTTATTAAAATTCCACTTGTTCTTTTAAAATTAGCTAGTACCAAGCTATAAAACAATTTAATCCTGGTGACAATTTTGATGGAAGATACTTAGTCAACTTTATCTCTCCAATAGTAATTGGTTTATTAAAACTTTCTATTAAGAAAAGAATGTATACTTTCTATAAAATACAAAATTTAAAGTTTTCTCTATTATCAAGCTTCTTAGTTGTATTATTCAGATGCTTTATGTCCTTGCATATTGCATATGCATATTTCCTAAATATGTTCAATACTGAAAACATTGTAATAAATCAGCTATAATGGTGTTTTAAAATTTCTTTGTATTTTTATTTATTTTGAAAAATTAAAACAAGATACAGAAAGTATATAAAACATAACATTTGTTTACTTTTGTGCAAAATCAACTATGTCAATATTTAACAAACAAAACATTTTGGCATACTTCCTTTATAAATAGATTTATATATTTATTATTTATTTATTCATATTTTTCTTTATTAAGATATTTATTTATTTATTTATTTGACAGAGAGAGACACAGCGAGAGAGGGAACACAAGCAGGGGGAGTGGGAGAGAGAGAAACAGACTCCCCGCCTAGCAGGGAGCTTGATGCAGGGCTTGATTTCAGGACCTTGGGATCATGACCTGAGCTGAAGGCAGCCATTTAAACAACTGAGCCACCCAAGTGCCCCAAAATAGATTTATATTTTAAAAAGTGAGAACATATAATTATACATATATATATATATACATACAAATACATATATAGCATATAATAAATCCTTTTCCCAATACTGTAAAGTTTCCTTCCTCTGCTGAAGCAAACACTAACATGAATTTGGTGTGAATCTTATCTGTGCCTTAAACATTTATTTTGAATATAATCATAATTGATAATATTATTGGTATTGGTGCTTTAAAATTTTTTGACATAAATGGGAAACTTCAAATCATGTGGAATATATTTTGTTTTTATTTTTTTCAAAGATTTTATTTATTTATTTGGCAGACAGAGATTACAAGTAGGCAGAGAGGCAGGCAGAGAGAGAGGAGGAAGCAGGCTCCCTGTTGAGCAGAGAGTCTGATGTGGGACTCGATCCCAGGACCCTGGGTTCATGACCTGAGCAGAGGCTTTAACCCACTGAGCCACCCAGGTGTCCCTGTATTTTGTTTTTAATTGTAGAAATATTTTCTTTTTTCTAATTGGGAGATGGATTGCAACAAGAATACAAACAATAACACTGACCTTAGAATGCTAGTTGATATTCTGAGTACTTTTACCACTTTTGACACTCAGGAATGCCACAGAACTGGCTACTGACTAAAAAAGACAAAAATTTCAGTTCTCATTGAGATTGTATCTTGGCTGTTCCTGAGACAGATATCTACCATTGCCACTGACCTCAGGACCAGAAGCAGACCTTACATTTCCCCATGATAATATTGGGGTCACCCCACATTCTGACTCTCAGAGGAAGGCTGGCTCTAATCTTGGCACTGTTTAAAGAGTTTGGGACATAGCAGAAGACAAAATAAAAACCTCCCTTTCTTAACACATGGTCTTTTATCATTAAAGTAGTCTTCAGTCCAATAAAGAAGATATAAGGTGGTATAAAACTTCACAAAACAATAAAAAATGTGATAAATGTAACTATAGAGTTAGATGGGTGCATATGATAAATGACAAAAATAGTAATATATATACTTTTTAGATATGTAATAATGCTTTCTAGTCCCTGGTTTCCCACTGGGCCCAAGTCCTGAACCAAACATTGTATTGTTTCATGATGACATTAGGTTATTAATATATAATCAAACAGAAAGCTCAACCCAGTCCTAGGACATGAGAATTGAACAGAAAATCATCTAAACAAAGTAGCTGATGTCTTAGAGCATATATCTTAGTGGGGAAAGGAAGACAGATGCTACCACCTTTACATCTCTGATCCATAGGCCTTGTATTATTTTACAGTGATTTGGGGATATTCCACAGCTTGTTAATCAGATGAAGGTTTGATAATATTTCTAATTCTGTTTTAGGGGTTGAATATACAGCAGTGAGCAAAATATGAGACTATGTCTTAATGGGAGGAAGAGAGAAAAAAAAAATTCAGTGTACTATACTCACCTGCTATGCTTTTACCCCCTAATTTTCTGTGCTTCTAGACTAGAACCAAGTTGTGGATTGTTCCATGATAATATTATTATCACACCTGCTTATTTGAGTCAGAGGGAATCTCAGCCTTGGCCAGGCAATGATGAAAACTGTCTAAACCTCTATTCTCTTGCACTTACATTCTGTTGTTTAGAAACAGTCATACCCTCTTCCTTAGGCCAATAGTCTAGAATCAGGTCTTATATTATTTGATGGTGATACTGAAAATCTCCCATATCTTGAAGATAAATCAGTGGCAAGACTGAAAATGATTATGGCACTGCTTCAGGAAGTGGAAATAGGCAGAAACAAAGTCCTTGTTCTCATAACCCTTATAGTTTACACCATGTTGGATGGAGCCAAATTCTTATTTCTTTCTTCCTAACAAACTTTACATGTCCATCAGGTTGTGACAATTTTTAGAGTGACTTTTAGAGCAGGGTAAGTCAGCAGGAGAAGAGAAATCATAAAGATCAGAGCAGAAATCAATGAAATAGAAACCAAAAAAATAATAGAACAAATCAACGAAACTAGGAGCTGGTTCTTTGAAAGAATTAATAAGATTGATAAACCCCTGGCCAGACTTATCAAAAAGAAAAGAGAAAGGACCCAAATAAATAAAATCATGAATGAAAGAGGAGAGATCACAACTAACACCAAAGAAATACAGACAATTATAAGAACATAATATGAGCAAGTCTATGCCAACAAATTTGACAATCTGGAAGAAATGGATGCATTCCTAGAGACATATAAACTACCACAACTGAACCAGGAAGAAATAGAAAGCCTGAACAGACCCATAACCTGTAAGGAGATTGAAACAGTCATCAAAAATCTCCAAACAAAAAAAAGCCCAGGGCCAGACGGCTTCCCGGGGGAATTCTACCGAACATTTAAAGAAGAACTAATTCCTATTCTCCTGAAACTGTTCCAAAGAATAGAAATGGAAGGAAAACTTCCAAACTCATTTTATGAGGCCAGCATCACCTTGATCCCCAAACCAGACAAGAATCCCATCAAAAAAGAGAACTAGAGACCAATATCCTTGATGAACACAGATGCAAAAATTCTCACCAAAATACTAGCCAATAGGATTCAACAGTACATTAAAAGGATTATTCAACACGACCAAGTGGGATTATTCCAGGGCTGCAAGGTTGGTTCAACATCCACAAATCAATCAATGTGATACAACACATTAATAAAAGAAAGAACAAGAACCATATGATACTCTCCATAGTTGCTGAAAAAGCATTTGACAAAGTACAGCATCCCTTCCTGATCAAAACTCTTCAAAGTGTAGGGATAGAGGGCACATACCTCAATATTATCAAAGCCATCTATGAAAAACCCACCGCAAATATCATTCTCAATGGAGAAAAACTGAAAGCTTTTCCGCTAAGGTCAGGAACACGACAGGGATGTCCATTATCACCACTGCTATTCAACATAGTACTAGAAGTCCTAGCCTCAGCAATCAGACAACAAAAGGAAATTAAAGGCATCCAAATTGGCAAAGAAGAAGTCAAACTATCACTCTTCACAGATGACATGATACTCTATGTGGAAAACCCAAAAGACTCCACTCCAAAACTGCTAGAACTTATACAGGAATTCAGTCAAGTGTCAGGATATAAAATCAATGCACAGAAATCAGTTGCATTTCTCTACACCAACAACAAGACAGAAGAAAGAGAAATTAAGGAGTCAGTCCCATTTACAATGGAACCCAAAACTATAAGATACCTAGGAATAAACCTAACCAAAGAGGCTAAGAATCTATACTCAGAAAAGTATAAAGTACTCATGAAAGAAATTGAGGAAGACACAAAGAAATGGAAAAATGTTCCATGCTCCTGGATTGGAAGAATAAATATTGTGAACATGTCTATGCTACCTAAAGCAATCTACACATTGAATGCAATTCCTATCAAAGTACCATCCATTTTTTTCAAAGAAATGGAA